TGCCCAGATTTGAGAATATTCCATCTTTTACCTAATTCAAGGGTTGCAAGCAATCTGAGTGTCTTCATAGACTCATAGCTCCTGTTTATAGCTCCTCAACTTTGGTCAGGAAGGCCTTTACACAACTTCATCTGGTGCACCAGTTGCATCTTTCTTAAATCAGGGGCCATTCAGACTGCATTTATGCTCTGATCACCTCAAAGCTTAACTACTGCAATGTATCACATTAAAGACCACAGAAGCTTCAACTGATCCAACAGTGTGGACAATGATGGGTGTGCCTGTGTAACACTTCAGCTTTGAGAGTTGCAGTCTTTTTGTTTCCGGAGGTAATTCAAATTACTGTGTCCTCCATCTTCCCCGAGTCTTTGTGCTACCCGGTAAACTAGGAAGGCATCCAGGGCTCAGGACCTCCTGCAGTGAACTTGCAGGAGATTCGGGTTAATGTCAGGGTTCCAAGTAACAACTCCAAACAAAATCAAAACTCCAAGGCAGGCATTTTCCTCAAAGCTTGAATTTATTAGAGATGTCATATTGGCACATCTGGGAAAACCCGAATCTGAAGCCCCCAGGTTTTCCCCACCCTAAGTAAAGTCAAAGTTCCTTCACCTGCATCCATATGGGCATCACATGGTCTAATCAGGTTGCTGTCCCAACTGTAGTTGACTCCCAGTCATGCCTCCCCAGATACAGGCTGAACGTCCTTGACTCCCAAGGGAAAATATTTTGTTATGGCTATACACCCCACACTGTCTCCATTCCCCCCCTCCCATTCCCACATCCACTACTGTGGCAGCCCTGAAGATTCCAAATTAAAGATGGCTCCAGGGCTGACATACTGATTGTTATCTATGAAGCCCTTCTTATGGCATAGGGCCTGGTTGCTGGAGGAGGCATCTGTCTCCAATAATATCTGCCTGCCTGATTTGATCTCACACATACTAGGTCCCTTTGATTAAACAATGCCATTTATCAGGACCCTAGAAGTAAGTCTTCTCAATTGAAGGTCTACTCAATGGAATGAAGGCTGAGGTGGCGCAGTGGTTAGAGTGCAGTTCTGCAGGCTACTTCAGCTGACTGCTAACTGCAGTTTAGCAGTTCAAATCTCACTGGCTCAAGGTTGACTAAGCCTTCAATCCTTCTGAGGTGGTTAAAATGAGGACCCAGATTGTTGGGGGCAAAATGCTGACTTTGTAAACCACTTAGAGAGGGCTGTAAAAGCACTATGAAGCGGTATATAAGTCTAGTGCTATTGCTATTGCTAGTGCTAGTGCTAAAAGTTCTGTATCCTTAGATTGATGCATTTAAATCTTTATCATTAAAGAAGAGAAAGAAGACATGTAGGCAGACAATGGGGAATACACATAGAAAACAACATAGTAGCACAGGCTGTTTGCCTCATTAAGCCTTTTGGAGGTGAGGTGCAAACTGCATGGGAGGTGAAGCAAATGTCTATTAACTTATTAAGGTCAGAGAAGGGAGCTTGTTAGTTCAGGTCTCACACTTGGCAAACAAATGGCATGCTGCTTAGGAAAGCGGCTTAGGAAAAGCCAGCTTGTTTAAGCAATCTCTCTTCATGGAAGTAACTGAAAAAGTGGGTCAGTCATCAGACACATTACAAAATGCAATACGAGGAAGGAAAGAGCTGATCAGTGGAACTTGGTGAGCAGAGCTGGGTGGCCAATAGATAGCAGAAAGGAGAGAATTTTTTTGCATCTCTGTGCTGCCACTTAGTGATAATATAAGCTACAGTTACTTAAAGTATGGTCCCAGGACCCCTGGGCATCCCTAAGACCCTCTCAGTGGTCCATGAAATAAAAAATATATGCCAGATGCTGAAGGTATTTGCAAAAATTTAAAACAGTCACTCACTGTTCTTTTTATGAAAATTATTATACTTATATTAATAACTAATAAGTTTAATATTAGTATTAAACAATATTAATATTGCTATTTGCATATGATTCAATAACTGTGCAGCAATCTTTTTTTTTTTTTGATAAATATAACCTATACAAGTAAAGACTTTTTTGGTGTTCGTCATAATTTTTGAAAGTGGGAAGGGGTCCTGAGAGGTCCTGAGAATAAAAAAACGTAAGAAACACTGGTCTAGACATTTGCCAACCAGATCTGATAGCCCTAAGAAATAATATTATTGGGTTTAATCCATTCCCCAACCTTAGTTGAGTCACTGTTATACTTAGTTATAATAACATAGTATTAGTTTTAGTATTGGTAGCATTAGCATTGAAAAACCCTACTCATTGATTTATTACCATGGTATATTCCTACTCTTTCCTTGAAAGTTCTTTCAAAAAGTTAATATCCACTTTAACAATGCTTTTTAATTGTCTATAAAATAAAATATGGATTCAGAATAATCCAACAATTTTTAATCCTGATAATGTGCATATTTAATTGAATATTCACCCATATTGCAATTGCAGACAATTCAAATTCCACTTATGATTATTGATATGGTTGAAAGATTTCATCAGCAAAAACCTGTCTGAAGCATTAATATCCTATTAGTCCCTATCTCAAAAAGCATTTACCATCAATTATTAAATTGAAATTATTCAAACGTATAAATGTATCATGTGTCTAAAGTTTAAAATTATGTTTCTTTCCCAACAAATTCCAAATTTGCTCTGCCAACTTTAATGTTAGAAACATAATGACCAGGGTTGGGATTCAAAAAATTTAGCAAACGATTCTCTGCCCAGTTGCTGGGTGGGCATGGCCATGATGGGCGTGGCCTACTCAGCCTCCTGCACCATGGCAGGGGTGGGCGTTTTCGCCCTCCCCAGGCTCCGAAGGCTTTCCTCGAGCCTCTGGGAGGGCAATAATGGCCTCCCCTGGGCTCCAGAGGCCCTCTGGAAGGTGGAAAAGGGGCCCGTTTCCAGACTTCCAGGAGGCTCATTTTTCACCCTCCCAGATCCTCCACGCAGGCCCTGTACTTACCTGGCATCCAAAACGGGCAGTGTGGAGACTCCTGGGAGGGGCAGGGTGGGGTGTGTGGGGCCAGCCAGTCCTTGTAACTATGGGTTCGGCAAACCAGATGTAAAATTAGCATCCGATTCACCTGAACTGGTCTGAACCAGCTGAATCCCACCCTTGATAATGACTATATCTAAAGATAGAGCCAAGTTCTCTTCCTGCTACCAAAGGGTCATTTAATAAATTTCCAAATGACTTTGGATTTGAAGGGCCAATGACCCTTCTCCCAATCAACATACAGTATAATAACTAAAATCTAGACTTTTATCTAGTCCTTTTAAACTGTCTTCATAGCGTATTAATTTTCCTATAATACACAAGAATACTTCTAAGTGCAGGTATGTGTCTGGGTAAAAATTTTGATATAAAGATCATTTTTACAATATTGTTTTTCCTTTAAAATCTAACCCCAATGACATTATCTTAATCTGATAGAAAGAATTCAATGTATTTAAGCATAGAATTTCCTTGGAATAATTAACTCCAGATTTTAAGAGAATCCAAATGCCAGATAACTTCCCATCAACCCCAGTAGATAGACCAAACCAGGGGTGGGTTCTACTTACTTTTACTACTGGTTTGCAGTGGGGCCGCACATGTGCTCTTGCTTCACTTGCATGCGCACGCCCTTCTGCGCATGCACAGAAGCGTTTTGATGACATCGGGGTCGGTGGGTGGAGCCTCCCGCCAGTTTTACTACCGGTTCTATAGAACCAGTGCGAACCAGGGGCAATCTACCACTGGACCAAACCAGGAAATCAGCTTGACTTGAAGGCTAAAATGTTTATTGATATTGGCGATAATAACAGAATCTCATAAATCTGATCATTTTATACCTCCTTCTTCCTATACTTTAGTAAATAAGGATGGTTCCTACATGAGACACCTCCAAATGTTATCTCTTTCTTCTGGATTTAAAAATGTTTCAGACCCTTTTTTCTAGGTAACATATGATGAGGTCCAGAGTTGCAATCTGAGCTGCAAGTATCTGGACAATCACTGAATGGCACCAGATATACCAAAAATCTGTTTACTGCCATCTAGTGGTCAAATAAGTTATTTGCTTATTTAGTTAGTTGCTCTCTTATTATATTTAGTCATCAAATACCGGTAATAATCAAGCATAGATAAAAATCAGAATTACAAAGAATGCATTATATTACAACAAAAATGATTCTTGAAAAACAAAAGGATGATAAAGAAAGCAATATGGATAATTGAACTAGTGAATTCAATTTCAAGAGGAGCAATTCAAGGGAAGCAAAAATAATTTCACCCAATCTTACAATAATGAAACACATTTTTACAACAACAAAAGTTAAAAAGTCAGCAGGGGGCAGGGTTATTTTCAGGGGTGTCTGAAAAGTAAAGATAATGGCTTTGAACCAGTGGTGAAATGCTCCCGGTTCAGATCAGATCGCCTGATCCGGTAGTGAGCATGGTGGGTGGTTCAGAGAACCGGTAGAGATCCTGGCCTGAGGTTCCGCCCACCCGCCCAGTTGTTCTGCCCCAGCTCCGAATTCCCGAGGATATTGACACACACGGTCCTTATCAAATTTATTAAGTAGCAAGAATAAACCAAAGTCCGCAAAGGTTGGCAACCAGCCCAGAAAACAAGATACAATAAGACTTTTCCAAAAATGCTCTGATGATAATTACAAGTTGTTTCCAGCAAGAAATTACTAACTGCGTGTGACTTAAATAGGCTAAGGGAGTGGCCAATTATCCTCAAACCTTACTCTCGAGGAGACCTCCTCCTCCTGAGTAGCCACTCCTGCCTTTTGGCAGCCCTGCGTACTCGAGCATTGAGGAGAGGCTCCTCTACTTCGCTCTCTCCACTTGAAGGAGCCTTTGGAGGTTCTGAAGGCCCAGGCTGAGTCTCTGCCTCTGGCACCACATCCTCTTCAGCCTCCTCACTGTCCGACGCGAGCGCCAGCTGCGCAGGCTGCTGGCGCAACCCCACACCAGCCTCCTCATTGTCGGGATCAGCCACGATCCGCACAGGCCACTGATGGGCCACAACAAGTAATGTGTTTTGTACCTTCTGCACATGCAGGGGTACATGCCAGAACTTTAAAGCATTAAAAATGCTTTAAAAAGTTTTTTTTTAAAAAAATTCCAACATCGCTCAGCTTTTTTAAAGCATTTTTTTACTACCTATTTGCCCGAGCCGGTAGTAAAAAAACAATTTTAAAAGGTTAAAAAAAGGCTCCGAGGATCACAACTGTGGCACATGATCATCAGAATCCTTTTTTACAAGGATGGGGGGGGGGTGCGTTTTTCCCTGAAGCCTGCTAGGCCAAAATGGGGGGGGATTGTAGGCAAAAGACGGGGAGTGGGGCGTGCGTTTTTGAAAGAAAGAGAGAGAGAGAGAGAAAGAAAAAGAAAGAAGGGAGGGAGGGTGGGAGGGAAGGAAGGAAGGAAAGAAGGAAGGAAGGAAAGAAAGAAAAAGGAGAGGAAGGAAGGAAGGAAGGAAAGAAAAAGGAGAGGAAGGAAGGACTACAAACCTGGCACTAGATGCAGCTTCAGAGGATAATCCAGGGCTGGAAGGGATCTGGAGGTCATCTAGTCCAACCCTGCTCCAGCAGGATATTCTTAGTGAGTTTCTGTCTTTTGATCCCCAGTCACATGGTTACATAGCCATGCCCACCCAGTCACATGACCCCCACCAAGCCACGCCCACCAAGCCATCCCCACAGAACCGGTAGGAAAGAAATTTAGATTTCACCACTGCTTTGAACAGATATTTGCTGGCCCACTTTTACATGCCTTGTATGAGACATGAAAGGTGAGTCTTGTGATTTTTCTTTTTACACCATTCCCTGAGGATGCCCCTACTAAGGAGATATATTCCATTGTATCGCAATTTAAAATCACATTTATGAATTGATTTTATGTGTATTTAAAATATTAATTGGCTGTCATTAATGGTGAAAGAAATTCTATCTTATCCTAAAAAGAACAGCAAGATTTTCAAATAATAATTAAAAAAGGCTTTTAGCTGAATCATGCTGTTCCATTTTTTTGATTTTGCCAAATATATGAAACATTTTAGTTTTGAAACTAAATTGTTTTAGGGTCTTTTTTTGCAATAGTGGTAACCTCACTGAAAATAAAAAGTTATCCATAGACAAGGTCTAATACTGAATAGCTGTCCTATTCATTTCATTGAAGTAGGGCTGTGATGGCAAGCCTATGGCACACATGCCAGACCCCTTTCTGCTGGCATGCATGCTGTTGCCCCAGGTCAGATCAAGGGTTCCAAGTAACACCCCCAACGAAAGAAGACTCCAAGGCTAGAAGTTCCTCAAAGTCCCGCTTTATTAGAGATATCATATTGGCACATCTGGGAAAACCCGAATCTGAAAGCTTCCAGGTTTTCCCCTCCCAAAAGAAAGTCCAAGTCACCTTCCCCTACACCCACCTGTCCATTACATAGTCCAATCAATGCACCGTCCCAACTGGAGATGCCTCCCAGTCACGCCACTCCTGGTGCAGGCAGAATGTCCTTGACTCCCAGAGAAAAGAATGTTATTATGGCTAGATATCTCTACAACTTCATGCAATCCACCTTCCAGTTTCCCACAGCACTAAGTGTGGCAGCCCTAAAGATCCAAAAAAAAAAGTTGGCCTCCAGGTCAGATCTCCGTGGCATTTCATTCGTGAGCTTCTGTTTCCCTGCAAACAAAACAGAAGCTCACGAAAGAAAAAGATCTTCCCTCTTGTCACGCTGCCAGTGTTGGGATGCCCTGCCTCCTGCTGGTCAGCTGGTCTTTGGGTCTCTGCTTCGCATGCGCGCATGTCCGTGCATGTGCATGCATGTTTGTCCATGTACGCATGTCTGTACATGCATGCATGTTGGCACACGTGTATATCAGCACACATGCACATGTCGGCATGCGTGCGCATGTCCATGCACATGTGCATCAGGGGTGGATTCTAAAAATTTTTACTATGGGTTCTGTGAGAGTGGCTTATTTTGTGGCCGTGGTTTGATGGTCATGTGACAATTCTTTAGGATTTAGCAGAGGTACTGGTCTACCAGGCTTTTAACTGCTTGCAGAGCTGTACCGGTCTACCCATTTGTTTTTGGAGTGTCCCGGTCTACCTATTTGTTTTTGGAGCGCACTGGTCTATCACCACATTGTCTTTTACTACTAATCAGCTGTAGGGTGGCCCTTTGAAGTGCTGCGGCAAGAGTTTAAACAGTTTTTTGCTGCTCTGCCACCACTGAGAGCATCGGAAACCACTTTCAGGCAGCTTGGCCTCAATTGCCAATCTACCACCACCGAGTGGTTTACAAGGAGCGGATCAGTTCTAGCTGATCAGTTGGCTTCTTGGCTTCTCAATTTAAAGCTAAGGTGTCTTGTTTTTTTGTTTTCTTCTTTGTCAAGTGAGCCCTGATTTTTTCCTTCTAGCCGATCAGCTGGGACTCAGGAGGCAGCGAATAGATTGGGGGCAGAGCCAGGCAGAGGTGGTATTTACTGGTTCTCCGAACTACTCAAAATTTCCACTACTGGTTCGCAAGAACTGGGGAGAACCGGTAGCAACCCACCACTGATGTGTATGTTGACATATGTGCGTGTTTACGTGCGCACACCTTTCAGTTTGGGCATGCATGTGCACAGTTTGGGCATGCATGTGCACAGTTTGGGCACTCTGTGTCTAAAAGGTTTGCCATCACTGAACTAGGGAATATCTCACAGATTACGTGGGCTATGTTTTGGGTGGGTAGAGCTATGTTTTCACAGTTTTATGTCTTGCATAAAAAGCACATTTCAACTTTCCTGTTAATATATTTCTCAGTAATGCTGACTGGTTTTTAGCAAAACGGGAGATTTCATTTTGTGGAATACTTATCCATTCAGCAGCTGATTTGATGTGATTGTTTTGTCAACCGGGTGCAAATAAATCAATTTGCACTTGAACCAAACTAAATGGATTACACAAATTGACCTCAGCTCTGGTAGCCATAGGAAAAACACCAAACTGATTTAATTCTTTTACAGATAACTGGCATGTCCTTAGTTAAGTACTGCCAAATGGTGCCCAGCCATTAACGGCTAAACCCAGGGGATTTTTATTACAGTGTTAAAATGCAAACATAAGAAACAGGATTTTACATGCCATTTATTCCATCCTGGACCTTCTCTTTCTCTTCAGCCAACATCATCCTTACAAGTAGTAAAACATACAAGGCTGCAGAGTGAACCCAAACAGCAGTGTTATCCTTTCATATATCTTCCCTGAATCGATCCATCAGCATTCTCACCCATTTTCTTTCTGGCTGATCACTGTCCAGCCTTCTATAAATATTTTTTTATCAGATCCTAACTGTTCAGTCTTGCTTCACATATGTCTGCCTCTTTACAATGTGACAGTTTCCTTTTCTGGAAAATAGAAAGGACCCAACAAACCATGATTGCCTATGAATGAGGAGCCTTCAGAAATAGCATAAAAAACCCTTGCCTTATTGTAAAACAACCTCCCCAGAGGGTCTGGACTCCCTGCTTCTGACTTAGTCCGAAGTCTTGCATCAAATAGAATTCATATAATGATTTGTCTGGACTGCAAGAATCCAAGTGATCACAGGTGGCAGCAAAGAAATAAAAAATCCCACACAACTCATTGCTGCCACCTAGTGGATATCTAGAATTTTCCCACCCAGATATGGGGGTCCTAACCTTACAGATGTCATTCATTCTTCGGAAATACAGGAACTATTGGAACTCTCTTCTATCAGATGGGAACCATTGTTGTTACAGATTTAATTGGTTAAAAAGCAGGGAGAAGTAGTATCCCAACTGTGAACAGGAAATTACATAATGCGTTTTAGATGGCTTGCTTATTTATTAAATTATTTGTTGTCTTGCCTTTCATTCAGGGGTTCAGGGCGGCACACAGAGCTCTCACCTTCTTGTTTTTTCTTGCAAGGAGGAAAGGAAATTGAGGTAGGTGGAACTGACAAAGAGAGATAATGCATATTGCAAATCCAAAACAAATAAACAACTTATTTAATTTTACACAAGTAAAATTCAATTGCTAGTAATTTCTAATCAACATATTTTAGCTGGTAACCCCAGCTAGAGGTGCATTTTGTTTAAAGCAAACTCCTCCTCCCCCTTTTTACATAATGATAAGAAAAGAGCAAAAATGCTGAAGCATTTTGGAGAGGTGGAAAACATTTCTTGAGAACTCGTGCAGTCATTTGGTTTTATATGGGAATGTAAAGCATGAAAGCGATGATAAAAGATGAGCCCAGAAAACACTGTTAAATATATGGATTTAATTAGATTGGACTTTTTCCTCTTTAAAAGTGGATATTTTTCATCTTGCAAATGGCTGTTCTTTGCATTAGCTCCAAGTTCTTTGACAGGCATATTTGTTTTAGTGTTTCCAAGATAAAATAAGTTGAATTATAAAATATTCATTTCAGAAATGTGCCTTCTTTGTTGTAGATGTAAACAATATATTGTGTTGAATTTGTTTTATCTTATCTCATTTATACATCACATTTTTACCTGAATAAGCTATATATTTGGTTTGATTTTGTAGTGCCCTTGATAAAAGCTGCATCTGAAGAACACAGAGTTCCTCTACCATAAATTATTTCCTTCTGGCACTTGAGATATTCTCACTCCTTTTAGGGAGGGGGAACAATGCCTATATTTTTCCTTCGATTGCATATCTAACCAGAGAGTATCTTCAGTCATCCAACAGTATGATTAACCCTCTTTGCCCAAGTATGTTCAGGTTTAAAATCTGGTGCTTGTCTCTTCACTATTTTTGCACATGATGATCTGGAAAATATTTTTTAAAACTCAGTTTGCTCTTTCCGGTGTATATAATTGCATTATCTGGATCTTTTAGGTTGAATGTCGGCTGGCGGCCCCCAGGGGGAGAGTGGTCTCTGTGGGAGCGCTGACCCTCTGGAACGGTTTGCCCACCGGTCTTAGGACAGCCCCCGACCTCCTCTCCTTCCGCCGCAAACTGAAGATGTGGCTTTTTCATCAAATGGACTGACCCGTTGAGGGGGAGGTTTACATTGTAATAATTTTAATTAACTTTAATTGGATTTTAATTTATATTTAATTCATATTGTTGAATTTTTATCTTGTAAGCCGCCCTGAGTCCTTCAGGAGAAGGGCGGCATATAAATTACAATAAAATAAAAATAAATAAATAAATGTAAATTGTACTGGTTATTCTAGTTATAGCCTCAGTATATGAAAGCACCTTACACCAGTATCTCAATAAAATGATTTAGGGATTTATCCAAGAATAAGAAAAATCCAGACTTGTCCCAAAGATGCTTAAAAACTAGTACCGTATTTTTTGGAGTATAAGACGCATCTTTTTGCCCCCTAAAAGGGGATGAAAATTTGGGTGTGTCTTATATACCAAATGTAGCCCCGCCCACCCACTGGCCCCCATCCTTTGGCCTCTGCCTTCCAGCAGCAAGAAGAAACAGCCTATTTCAGCTTCAGCACACCCTAATTAGCACAAGTTGATTGTCCGTTGGATCAGCCTCCCGACTCTCAGCTGTTTCAGGCTGCAGGGATGGCCATTGCCTATTGTTCCGTGGTCTTCTTCTGCTTGCTGCAAGGAGGTAAATTGCTGGGAGCAGATTTTTTTTTCTTGTGCTAATCAAGCTATGCTGAAAACGAAAATGAAAGTAAAGCAGGCTATTTGCTGTTTGCTGCAAAATTGCTGGGAGGCAGAGGCAGATTTCTTTTTCTTGTCTTCCTCACCAAAAAAGGTAGGCGTCTCTTATAGTCTGGAGCATCTTATACTCTAAAAATACGGTATGTTTTTAGCAGGTTGATTCAACTTATGCTGAAGAATTGGATAACTAAAAATGGAGGTTTTCATTTTGTATACAATTGGGTGACTTGCTGGAAAATGAGACTTGGATGAAAACAATGCAATGCATAAGCCAATGGTTTTTCTTTAGGGAGGAGATCTGATGTTCCTCTGCTTTTTACAAGAAATTAGCAAATTGCTCATGCTGATGGCAGGTGGAACATTTATACAGAGGGGAGACTGATATATTGCAGAAAATCTCAGTAAAACCTCAGGGCAACATTTTGCACATATTTACAGGGTCTTGACTGTGAAGCATTGTGGAAGGAGAAGAAATTTAATCCATAGGAATGTTAAATAATTTGAAGGGGTACATCAAAACATTTTAATGAAGGTGAGGCATTCGACTATTTCCTGTTTCTAGTGATTTGCTCTTATCTGGAAAGCCTCATCCTGTGTGGCGCAGTGGTTAGAAGACAGTACTGCAGGCTACTTTTGCTGACTGTCAGCTGCCAGCAGTTTGGCAGTTCGATTCTCACCAGCTCAAAGTTGACTCAGCCTTTCATCCTTCTGAGGTCGGTAAAATGAGGACCCAGATTGGGCTGTAAATCACTGTGAAGTGATATATAAGTCTAAGTGCTATTGCTATCCTGTGTTTGCTAATTTTCTATACATAGATATCAAAGCCCACAAGTTGAGGAGCCTCACTTTGGTTGCCAAGTCAAGAGACGTAATTGAATTTGGGACTTTTTCACTAGGAGCATAGGATTTTATTGTAAAATCTTATGGGGTTTATTAAGAACTCTGAATGCCCTCCTCTTCTTTAAATTGGCCATTGTTAATTCCCAAAAGATTAAACTGCCCAGGTTTGCTAAATTCTTTCACTATGGCTGGGCTATTTTGGGAAGATTAGAAGATTATGTGGATGATCACTAGTCACTAAACCCCAAGTAGTAGCAGGCAACCTGTTTCCTACATAGCCTGGATCAGTTGTCAAATAACTGTTTTGCCGCTAAAAGAAATTGTGTAAATTGGACACTCACACTCATATTTTAATATGGTTTTTCAAACTCCATCATCTATTCAAATTCATTTTCAGATTCTTCTTTTGCTTTGGTTTGTGGACAAGTCTACGTTATTTGGGGGGAGTATGCAGTCTGCAATCTTCAGAGCTTTCCAAATGGTCAAATGCTAAATCATCCACTGAAGCTCCTAAATACTAAAAGCCAACCATTGGCTCTCTTCAAACATCGGTAGGATTGAATGTCATTGATTAAGTGCAGTCAGATTTTCAGTTTCATTATAGGGCCGCAGGATCGGTTTTTGCATGCTATAATATCAGATGTCAGATATGGAAATCAATTGTGAGCATGAAAAATCAAAAGAATGATTTGATTTGAATACCAGAAAAGAAAGATTTGAGGGTTGCATTCACGTTTCATCTCAGATAAGGGATGAACTTCTGAAAGTATTCAAAAGGGTCCATACATCATCAAGTCTTTCACCCAAAACTTTTTCCCCTCCCACATTTCCCCCTGCCTGAATGAAGGTATCCCAGATCAGGTCATAACAAAGACAGCAGCAGGACAGAGCATGCTGTTAGATGTTGAAGAGAGTCTGCTGACCGCTGTGAGCATCATAAACCTCTCAGTTTGATGATCAACTGTGCAGTCAATTAATTAATCATCATTTTATGCCTCATCAAGCACTTTGCTGAGGCTCTCAATGGGGGAGCATCTCAATTAGCCAATGGGAAGCAGACTGTTTTGTTTAGCTGGGTGAGCCTTCTATAAACAAGGGAGGCCTTGGCAAGCTAATAAATATGTCATCTGTCTGTGTCAGTTGCTACAATGTGGCTTCACCTGTAAATATGTGGAACTGGGCCCAACACAGCTAGCACGGCCCTGAGAGAGGAAAGGGAAGTGCTTCTGAATTCATATACTTTGCCATAATGTTATAACTTGGGATTTAGAAAGCTGTGCCATGGGAAGAATCAGTCACTAGGATGTGAATGCACCCTGAACAGGGTGGCTAGTGGCTGGGAACCCATTTAATGCAGAGAACGGGCATGCCCTCACCTTGATATTTTCACGCACGGGATTATGGCAAAAGATACGCATGTATGTTTCCATCATGTATGAAGAATATTGCTATAACTGCAGATGCAGTTTCTTTGCTCTTTGTCGAGTTTTATGAATGCCTATAAAATGCAAACAAATGTACAATCACAATCAGATTGTTTTTCTTGCAGACTTTTATTGGTGCCTATGAGTGCATCAGTAATTATTTGTGGGTGGTTGAGTGTGGGGAGGCAAATAACCAGAAGGAAGCTGACAACACACCATGCATGCTAAGTGTTCTGCCTAAAATTCAGAAATAAAAGCAACAGGAATATGTGTGGATGTATTAAGTCCAGATAATAGGGAAGCCCATGAACTGTTTCTGGAAGTATCCCCTTCTGCATTTAGAATCACCATTTCATTCATTTTCTCCAATTCCACATTCAACCTGGTAGTATGAAGGATATTGTATGTCCAAGTGATTTCAGACAGACAAGCTTTCCAAAAATATCTCAGATCTGATTCAAACATGATACATTCTGTGCTGAAAGAATGGCAAGACGATTACCTAACTTTCTCCATGAAAAGCATTACGCTTGAAGTGCAGTGATTTGGATTTGGCCCTCAAAAACATTACGTGATAACACAAGTGTTCAGGTATGAATAGGTCTCAACTGCTCAGGCCAGTTAAAGACACTGGAAGGAAGAGAGGCTGCTTCAGCGTACCATTGTCCTCTGCCATAGCTCTGCCCCAACAGAATGCCAGACAATTATAAGTCCTTGCAGAGACCGTGGTGAAAGTAACATTGTCAACCAGTCTTCTGCTTATCTTCACAAGAAGATGCATCAATAACCTGACTGATCTGCATTGCTTTTAGCTTTTGAATGGTTTTGCAAGGCCCGTGACAACTGAAAGGCAGCTCCAATGCATTCCTTAGCAAATTATGACAAGCAGTTCCTTGGGACTTTTGATTGGTGTTCAAAGACTTCAGCTGGCAATCTTCCTTAATTTAGGAAAGGAGCCAATGCCTTCCTCCTCAGGGAGCTGTCTTATTCATATTATTTCTGATTGTTTTACTGGATTTTAGTTGATTGTATTTAATTATTGCTTATTATCAGGCTTGAATGTTCAATGAGGATGGAAATGCAATTGAAATTCCAAAATTGTACTTAGGCAGGGGTGTTACTGGGAAAGCTTCACTACACTTCTTCATGGAAGGCTTTCAAATGAGTCATTAAGACACAATCTTTGGGCCAGACTACTTTGCAAAAGTACGCTTAGTCCTTCAAATAACTTGGTTCCAGTCCTTACCTACCTGGGCCTTGAGCCTTTCAGAACTGGGCCACGGAAGTGGTGGGTGAGTGCACGTATGCATCCCCACTCGCACTAGCAGCAAGTAGGTGGACCACATGCATGCAGGACCATCCCCCGCCAGTCTACAACCCTGAAAAAGTTGGGGAACTGTGCCTTAGATGGTGTTTCATCTGGTCATCCTATCTACATTTTTCCCACTGGATGTGAGTCAGAGAGCTCTGGGAAGTATCTATGTTGCATGGTTAGGAAAAGACCTAGAGTCAAACATCTTTGCAATGGATATGTTTATTTATGATGACACAGTGATTCAAGGGGTAAACTGACATTGTTTGTTAAGATCAGCACAGATTCAGCTCATGATGGAATATTGCAAAAAAACATGCCATTATTCCGTTTAATAAGGGTAGATTCAATTTTTGGTAAACAACTATATCCTCATGTCCCCTTTTTCTAAATAAAATAATTCAATCATGCAACATTCAACACTCTTGAAGTGTTGCATATAGGTCTACAGTTAGGTAGGTCATTACATATCTGTGCCATGTAACTCATATAGTAACAACGTATTCTTTGTTACTACCAATTATTCTAAACTTTCTGCTGATATTCCTTTAGACTGATCAGGTTTTGGGATAAAGCTAGAGACTGTTTTCAGTTTCATAAATCTGAGCCTATTTTGATTCTGGTTTGACCCAATTGAACTGTGGTGAGCTTTCCACTCAAACTTTGGCTTGAGATCTTCATTGTTTTGGAATTTTTGCTCTGAGATTTTCTTCTAGTAAGAATGAACAAGAAAACACAATTCTGTCATAGGGATGGAAT